TAACTGTAGTTGAATATACCCAGATGTTTCCTCGATAGGCAGTAGCAGGCTCTCTCTTATGTACACCAAAATATGAAGCCATCCGTAATCGCAGAAGAACTGAAGAAGCCCTACGTCACCTCCAAAAGCTGCAAAACTTCTTGCATCGAGTCACCCATGGACAGCTACCTGAGGACCGGCACTGTTGATCTGGAAGAACTCCAACATCGAGCAGCTCCGACAACTCTATGGTCCAAAACATCATTTTCTCTGCAGTCTTCAGGGCGTGGCTTGATGGTATGGACCGGGTTCCGGGAATGGGAAAACCGATATTGTCTTCGTGGACCCGGACTGAAAGTGAACGCTGGCTGTTACATCGAACAGCTCGAGGAGAATATCCTGCCTTCATGTCGTCGCCTGTACCATCTTGGAAACTTCGTACTGCTACAGGACTGGGTGCCAGCACATGGAACCGGAAAAACGCTCGCCTACTTGGAATCGAAGGGTGTTGAAACCTGAAAAAGACGGAATATCCAAGTGTGTCACCTGACCTAAACCCCTCGATTACCGGGTCCGGGAGGAGCTCAACAGGGTGGTCTACAGTGGCGGAGAAATCAACGATCTCGCTGAACTCAGGCACCGAATCACGTCGCGATTTCTTGATGGCTTTCGTCCAGAAGGCTGTTGTGGAGTTTCTTTTTCTTCATTATCCTAACATTGTCAAGAAACTCGCAGAACTCAAGCGCTTCCTTGATAGAGTACAATGCGTTGTTAAATTATGTGGTGGGTGTCCAATCAGTACTTAACAAAGTTCAGATTATTTCGCTTTGAAAGTCGTGCTAAAAGTGTCTTTCTTGCCCCCGTGGCAAGTGACATGCTTACCACCGCATATCAGACTCAGGGCCAACTCGCCCAGCCCAACCAAGCCTTCTGCTTTTTGAGGCAATGAATTGGTACCAGATTGGTCAAGGAGCATAAGAACATTGACTTGAACATCAGCTGTACCTCCCCTCCAAGTCCTTGTGTAGGCCACATCGCATCAAGCCAATACGTTCTTATTGGGAGTAGAGTGGAGCCGCATCCCAAAAAGGGATTGAATAACGGCAAAAACTTTATCCTTTTGTCGGTTCCAATACCTAAGACGCGGTCAAAGGGACTGTGAGCACAAGGTACCTATCCTTGCGATGAAGTCCGTCCACTCACATGCTACTACCATTGAACTGTGCTCTTCGAGCCAGAAACGGTGAACAGCCTTAAAAGGTGATGAATAAACCATAAGATTCGCCTCCGTAGGAAAAAATTGGCCACATGAATCAAGAGCAGGCTCCTAAGATTCCTCCTGATGGGAGATTCGAACTCTCGCTGTTTTCTAGTGCCAACCATTCTTTATCAGTTTTTGTACTTATGCTTTCCATTGTCTGCGAATGCTCAATCACGGTTAAGATTATCTTCACTCTCATCCCAGTATTTGT